AAACGCTATTGCTCCAACGCTGTGCTTTGAGTAAGTTTCATATGACAAATTGTAAAAACACGAGTGATCAGATTACGTGTGATAGAAGGTCCAAACGCGCGTGATCAAATTGCGTTATGGGCACTCCATTCAATCTTAGTGGAAGTCCAAACGATTGCTGGCTACAGTTAATGGCTACATACATGCAACGGGCGCGTACTAACGACCTGGAGATTAAGATTGCGAGCTCCTCTTGTCGCACGCAACAAAATACGTCCTAAATTCCCTTTTTTCTAACAAAATAGAAGTAAAAATGACTCACCTCGTGTTTTTGTTTTGTTTTTACTGTCTCTTCGCCTCTACAGCCATTTGGGAGCCTTTTTATTCACGTTTAAGATTTTGAGTTGTACTTTCATGTCATATGCCATTCCGCAAACTCATTCCACTTTTTATCTTCACCGCAAAAAAAAGCCAACTTATGCAGGCTAGTTTTTATTAGCATCAAGTTGTGCAGACAGATGCGGAGGTTATAAGGAAAGAGGTTACAAGAAAGNTTTCACTTTTCACTTTGAATATCGATTTTTGAGTTTGCGTTTTGACATTTGGTGGCCACTGTCGGCCGCCGTACAAGGTAGAACTTGTAAAAAATCCAATCACACGAAATGCGAAGTTAATTGACATATGCCAATACTGTCTCCACTCCACTCCACTCTGTTCCTCCTTTCTTTGCTAGTTGATGCACAGGCCACCCAAACTCTGTGGGAGTTCGTTGGGACTTGGAATTTATAAGGAAATGTAAGAAAATAAAGTAGTAATAACCAACAACAATCGAAGGTCAAAACGCTATTGCTCCAACGCTGTGCTTTGAGTAAGTTTCATATGACAAATTGTCAAAACACGAGTGATCAGATTACGTGTGATAGAAGGTCCAAACGCGCGTGATCAAATTGCGTTATGGGCATTCCATTCAATCTTAGTGGAAGTTCAAACGATTGCTGGCTACAATTAATGGCTACATACATGCAACGCACGCGTATTAACGACCTGGAGATTAGGATTGCGAGCTCCTCTTGTCGCACGCAACAAAATACGTCCTAAATTCCCTTTTTTCTAACAAAATAGAAGTAAAAATGACTCATCTCGTGTTTTTGTTTTGTTTTTACTGTCTCTTCGCCTCTACAGCCATTTGGGAGCCTTTTTATTCACGTTTAAGATTTTGAGTTGTACTATTCATGTCATATGCCATTCCGCAAACTCATTCCACTTTTTATCTTCACCGCACAAAAAAGCCAACTTATGCAGGCTAGTTTTTATTAGCATCAAGTTGTGCAGACGGATGCGGAGGTTATAAGGAAAGAGGTTACAAGAAAGAAAAAACAGTTTGTAATAGGTCAAGTTTTCTTCAGTCAAATTTAACTTATTTTTGCCCGGGGTTAAGTGCAGTCTCAATTTTTTAGTGTCTATAAGTTGAATAACTTTCCTGGTAATTGCTCTTCCCTGGCTGTCTTCGAAACAATTTCAAGTGGAATGAGATGTTCATTGCTGGCTGGTTCTGGCAGCCAGGCCAGTTAGCTAGTCCATTCGATGCAAAAAGAAAGCACGGTAAAAAGAACTTGGTCATTGCCTTTGTTTTTCGCTTGTAAAACTAACTGCCGTGCGACATAAACATGCTAAACATCGGTCAAAATCGGACTTCGATCATTAAAAACCTGGAAATTAAAGGTGAACAAAGGATTGGAAGCAATCAAATTTCACTTGATAGCGATTTTGTGACAATGTTTCTGTTTGTTACAATTTGGTTAAGTTGTTAAGGGCCAACTGGTCACGCGACACTTTTCAACCAATGAGAAGGCGCGGTTGTGTTTATCAACAAACAAATCAAAACATCGCCCCAGTGATCAAAGATTTTCAAAACAGCGGACGGAGTCGGACAGAATTAAAGATGAGCTTACGGTACTTGTCTAGGTTTCACATTTAATATTTCAAAGAAAACAATAAGAGCATTATTCATTGCAAGAAATCATTGGGGTGTTCGAACTGATTCCGGACCGATGGCAGAGGTCGTGGCTTCACTGGCATGGCTTGCAAGAGTTTTGATAGAAGCAAACTGGTCCCGTGTAAAAATAAGCTAAAAATAGCCTTGTGTAACAAGATGCAAGTGTGTACACAGCAGAAATGCCCGCGAAATTAGTAGACGATCCATTGGTGTTGTTCGAGCTGGTGGTTTTCGTAACAATGTCCCGATTGCAAAAGATTGATGCATTATTTTCACCAAAAAGGTAAGCACAGCGAAAAATTTAGTGATAATGCGTAAGGAAGTCGAATCAAGACATTTTTCCGGCCCTAACATCGATTATATTGATGAAATTCCAATCCCAGAACCGAAGAGACAGAACGACGACAAAGCAGTGAAAGAGGAAGCGTCGAACTAACAGAGGAAACAGGACCTCCATCCAAGTCAAAAAAAAAAGTCAAGTAAAATAGCATTCTAAATTGTAAAGGAAAAATTTTAGAGTTAAGA